TAAAGAAAATTGAAGATGTTATTGGAAAATACAAAGACATAGGAGAAGAAGTTTCAGAAGGAATAGTTTTTGGATATATAACTGAAAAAGACCAACCTAGAATTTTTGAAAAATTATCAAAATATAGAGAATATTTAGAACAATTTGAAAGATTAAAGAAATTACATATTGATCCTGATTAATTAATCAAGGAGAAAGAAAAGATATTAAAAGTTAAGAATCTCAGGATTAACTTTAAGAACTTATTATAAGATAAAGGGTAAAACCTGCAAATAAAGATAGAAAGGGTAAGATAGTACTTTTGTAAGAATCAATTTTATATTATTTAAAGGCTTTGTGAGTATCTGGTAGACTTCTGGCAGAATTCTTCTGGTAATCTAGCATTGCCCATAATTTAATTACAACTTACAAGTTTCTTCAATGAATAACTTATTGTGTAAAAGTAAACATAATTAAGGAGCAATTGCTAAATTATTGCTCACAAAACCATAGCTACTAACTGTAATTTGTTGACACTTGCAACAAAGTTATCTTTATTTTTGGAAACTTTTTCGACGAGGCACGAACGTATTTTTCAACCGTAACACGACTTTTAATTTGTAGCAAATTAGTTATAGTAGAAATTCTATGAAGGTACTAGAAAAGTGAGGTGCAAATCAATATTAACATGATTTTTTAAGAATGTGGACGATACGAGGAGCAAAACGAAATATTTACTTAAATAAAGGGTTGTAATTGATCAATTAGTTGATGAAATAATAATTTACAGATATAATTATTAGTTGCGGGTCCTCTCCTGAGAGGACGATCATTGCTGATATCGATCCGCGGCAGGTCCTCAAAAGAAATCGTATCCGTTGATAACCGGTTGAAAATCTGTATCACAATCCTCACCAATTAAATCTTCAACCGTCCATTACAAATTCAATCCAACGGTCTACATCTAGCCTTCCCCAAATTCATTTCCCGCTCGGGAATTGCACAGTCCTATAAATACTCAAACCTAAACTACACAATCCCCTCACCATTCACTCTCTCTAGAATCTATACATACACACAATACACATACAGCAATCAATGGCGCGCACAAAGCAAACAGCTCGGAAATCCACAGGCGGCAAGGCTCCAAGGAAGCAGCTAGCAACAAAGGCGGCGAGGAAATCCGCTCCGGCCACCGGCGGCGTGAAGAAACCACACCGATTCCGCCCAGGGACGGTGGCGCTGAGGGAAATCAGGAAGTACCAGAAGAGCACAGAGCTTCTAATTCGGAAACTACCATTCCAGAGATTAGTCAGAGAAATTGCTCAGGACTTCAAAACTGATCTACGGTTCCAAAGTTCCGCCGTGGCCGCTCTTCAGGAGGCGGCGGAGGCGTACCTGGTGGGGCTTTTCGAGGATACAAATCTGTGCGCAATTCATGCTAAGAGGGTAACTATTATGCCTAAGGATATTCAATTAGCTAGAAGAATTAGGGGTGAAAGGGCTTAGATTTTAGGGTCAGGGTTCGTTAAATATATCCCTTATCTTCTATATGCTTTATTGTACTGGTTTGGAAATTAGATTAGGGATGGAAGTGTAACGGATCTTTAAGTTTGGGGTCTGAATTGAAAATTATAATTTCAGAAAGTCAATTTTACATAATTGCTCAAGTTACAGAAGGACAAGCCTTCTATTCTCTTAGAAAACAAACACCAATACATGTAGGAAACAGAATGCATCAAAACATGAAATTCTTGGTACAACAATTTTAAAGGGCATTGAACTTGAGAGGAAACTTGATTTTAACCAGAGGTGCTACAAGCGAAATCAAGTGATTTTTTCCCCTCGTGAGCATTTCCAAAAAAGTGATCCATGTAATCCCCGAATGTAACTTCTCGATAATGAGCCACTTGATCAATTTTCACTAGATGAGGCAGTGGTCCAATCTTGCTGGTTCTTTTTGGGGTTGTGAAATGTGGGATTGACACTCTTGATTGTGTGCTTGTGGTTTGTACTCTATGTTCAGCACTTTTGTACCTTCCATTGCTTAATATCTGAAAGGTGCAAGACAGATATCAGTTGAATGAATAAGAAAAAGGCTTAGTTTCTTGTTACCGTAACAGATACTCGAACCATTATAAACATTTTACCTGCAATGTATCTCCCACATTAATAACTAAGGCACCAGGAATGGGTGGAATCTCAATCCATTCTGCCTTTTTTGCTGTATCAATATTTTCTTCAGCTTTTACATATAAACCACCAATACCATCTTGTAGTAAAACAGTTATCGTGCCCAGGTCTGAATGGCGTCCCACACCTACTGTTAGCTCTGGGTTAGGGCATGCAGGGTAAAAGTTCATGTTCACCATATTTTGCCCAGTAAGTGCTTCTATTATTGAGTCGTGATCTTGTGTCACTCCAAGATTTTTCAATAAAACTTCTAGCAATTTCCACACAATCTTGGTTGATGCCTTCAGGTACTCGAGTGCGACTTCTCTGTAAAAAAAGAGTTGTATCAATAACCAAATATTAAGTGTTTGTTTAGTATACAGTACTAGACATAAATATAAAAATCTCTTACTTGCACTGGTTAGGCCAATGCTCTAGTGCCTCAGCATCATTGGTGTAGGTCATACTGATATAATCTTTCCATTCTAAAGCTTTTTCCTTTTCTGGCACAAAGCTGGTTCCATACTTGATAAGTGGGCTAGGGCTGACTGCCTTGAGATAAACAGCCTTCTTTTCTGGTGGTTGAGCAAAGAATTTGTGGGCTGCATCCTTAAGTCCCTCCAGCAACTCGATTGGCACGCTGTGGTTCACCACCTGGAAGAACCCGAGTGTCTCGGCCACTCTAACTATGGCCTCTGCCACTTGATCATGCTCGGCTGGTTGGTCAAGCTTCGATAAATCAATGGGGGTAAGAACTTGTGAGAATGCATCGAGTTTGTTGATTCGTTCTTGTGGTGGTTGGACATATCTCTCGGGTACCTTTGCTATTCCTGAATCCACCAGACCTTTGACACCATTGCCGTGTTTCACAACAAAATCAAACAAAGAGTTTTCATCATCAAAACTTGGGGCCATTTTTGGTTGAATATAGGTATGTTGGTATTAATTGCTTGATGGTTAAAGAATGTTGCAGAGTGGCTACCTGTGGAACTCTGTATATATAGCGTAGGTGATTGTATTTTTAATGTGGAAAAAACATTCTTCAGAATTCAGATGATTTAAGGCTAGAATTTTGACTTCCAATACCACTCTCAATATTTATATGACCGGGAATATTACCAGTAGAATGATTCATTCTTCGTTGGTAGGTTGGATGAATGAATAAATAAATTTGCATTTTGCGTTATTTAGTATATTGAAAACTTGCTTGGTTCGACTTGAAAAACTGGGAATTAGCTTGAAATTTGGACTGGTTATGGATAAAACTACATTAAAGGAAAAAAAAAAAAAAAAA